ATTCTGCACCCATTTGTTACCGGTCCCCACACTCACACTCCTAGACCTCTCCGTGGGGACGTAACACCATGGATATAACAAAATGATGTTTCCTCCCTCATGATACTGCTACTTTGCAGCCGTTCTGCATTCAGTTGTCTGTTTAATGACTACTGGAAGGCTGGCAAAGAAAGTACACAGGAGCACTTGGCATCTAGTGTACAGCAAAGAGAGGTGACAAAGGAAAAGGCTTAAACTGACATGTATGTGAGGCTGGATACTGAAGGAGAAAATGCATTGTATTGACTTGTTAAAATTGAGGATGTGCAGTAAGTTAAGGTGAGTATTTTAAGGATCACCTTCAGAGAGGAAGGCCTCAAATGGAGTTAAGATAGTGAAGAAGCAAGTGCAAAGGATCAGCAAGGAAGAGTTAAACTGTGGTTGATCCAGATTACATACCTGTGAAGATACGATACAAGATACAGTCTTGAACCATTCCCTGAAGCTGTGGGATAGTTTTTTTTTTTTTATTAGGTTAAGAAGGGAGGAGTTGTTTAGTGAACAGCAATATGGCTCCAAGAAGGGTGAAGAAAGAAGACTAGAGAGTCATATGTTAATTAGACAATATTAATGGAGAAGTATAGAGAAGGCCAGAAGGAGGTGCACTGTACCTGGGTGGAGAAGAGAAAACAGGGCACTATATGAGGAAGAAGAGTGTCCAAGAACTATATGAGGGTGGTGCAGGACATGTATGAAGACAGTGAGACAGTACTGTAGTGTGAGGAAGGAGGTCAAGGTGGGGGTGGGATTACATGAGGGATCTCTCTGAGCCTCTGAGGTGGAGGTATGCATCACTTATACTGTCATCAGGGTCTTTGGGATGCAATCTAACATCAGGGTTAAATAGATCCAACTCATAAAAAAGTTGATGCAACACTTTTGTTTAATTCCTTGAGTTTAAATCTAGACTTCAGTCATATTTTGATTGTTTCTTTCAGAATCCATTGCAGCGGTGCACATAGCACAAACTAAATTAATTGCCTGTTTGTCCAAAAGATTTTGAATCTGACAGTATCCTAACATTATTGTTACTAGTCCTTCATATATAATTGTAAAATCTTTTGACTACCTAAAAAAATCAATTTCTGTTTCTGTCTTTCAGATGATGCTGAAGATGACATCATCTACTCAGACGTCAAAGTGAAACAGCGTACAAGAAAAGCAACACCACGTTCAAATCAAGATGCAAGTTAGCTTTCCCCTAATACATTCTGACCTAGCACCAGTCTTAAACCTGTTCATGCCAAGTTAGAAGTTTCAGTTAGAAGCTCTCACAAACATCTTACATATAACACTGGAGATTAAAAAAGCTGTGGTCATTAGTGTTTGTTTTATAGCAGATAACAGCAAAGGTGAGCTGTGCCTCTCTAAGACAACAGCAGAGTCAAGCATCAACCATCATCTCATAGCTTGAACATTTTAGCTAATTTTCACTGTGTCTGTCATGACCGTAAAACAATGAAACCATGTGATACTAACTTAGTTGCACAGCACACGGTGAGAAAGTGCATACTATACATGTATCTTGCATAACACTGGC